AGTTCAAAAGTGAGAGTTGATTCGTTTTATTAAAAACCTTAATTTTCCATTGGTCGTTTCTTAAATATCCATTCTTATATTCAAAGGTTTCATTGTTCACCTACGCGAATAACTAATATAATTTTGTATATTTGGTCAAAAGACGATTATGTAAGACCTGCAATAAATCGTTAACTATTGAAGGAGAATTTAGTAGTCTTTGTCCTAAAAACCCGTCAATCGTGCTCCCAACGTCAGACGGCATGTTAACATCTCTGGAACAGGGACGGTAAACTTTAATAAACCTGCTTGTCATGAAGAAAGTGAAAGAAAGGAAAGCGCGAAATCTTCCGTCTTTGACATTACTTACATTTTTTATGTCTTCTTCGTTTTCACATTTTGAACACTGTTTAATAAGCGATTTCATCCGAACTAATGAATGAACTTGTGGTTTACGCAATTTATCCAAGAAAATTGGACGCTGTTATATGAAGTCAACCTTTCTTTAAATTTACCTTATCTATTCTCTACCATTCTATAGATATCTTGAAAGTTTTAGCTGAAATTACATCATTTTTCATGAAATCACTCATTATTTTAAAAAGGATTCGGAAAACATCAACCAAACTGACCAAACTTGAGCGAACCATCGGAAAGCATCTTGAAAATTATTCTGCAAAATCGAGGGGGAAGTTTTTGGAAAGTAGTCAACATGGCCACAAAGCATCTTGATCTGAATTATAAATTAGCCGAAAATTCTGCCATTCAATTTCGCCAGGACAGTCTGTTTTAAAGCTTGAGGAAATTCAACAAAAACTAGAGCGAACCCTACTTATAATAAATGAACTCTTGTTAAATGCGTTCAGAAAATCCTCTCTAGCATTGCTGAGAAGAAAAGTGTTAGACGTCTTTTATTCGGCAATTGACAACCACGGAAATAGCGAAATTCCGGATTGATAAGTTGGGACATTAGAAGTAAAGGAACCTGTGAGAAAGATTGGTAGATCTTTAATTCCTTCATTGTTGCCGGTTCAACCTATGAAGACAGAAGTTCTAACAGACAACAACTGCCAACCTTGACGAACATTGGTAAGAAAGCCAAGTCCTAATTGAATACTACAGCTGATTTTGGTTTGAACCAAAAGAATAAATGGAGTACCTTAGGCTGACCGGAGATGAAACCAACACTCATTATTTCGAAATACATCTGATGATGTCTTGCAGTTGAATATGGACTTGACTTTCGATTTTTTTATGGCAAGCAACAAGTTACAGGGAAAGCCACTTTACAACGAATCAATTTGATTCCCCTCATTTTGGCATTAAATAGCCACCGATTTGCTAAATAAACCCCCTCGTAATCCGCCAATCACTATGATATTGAGATAATTGAAGTAGAATAGCTGAACAAGATAACGCCTGGGAGCATTCAGATTTGCAATCGTTTACGGAGGTGCAATAAGAAGGTAAGGTCAGGGATGTGATGAGTCCCAATACAATGCCACTGCCGACGGAGGATATCATTGTTGTTCCCTACAAACTTGTATCTTTTAATGATTCCAGATATTATTTCCCATTTCTTACTCATTGCCAATTTATTTTAATCTCAATTTTTAGATAAAGTGCTCAAAACCAAGTTCGTTCTTCCAAATCAGCCTAATCCTCGATGTACTTACCAGTCTGAATCCCATTATTCTCTGCAAAACAAGGTCATTTTTAATTGGGAGGGAGGGAGGGGGGTAGCTAAAGTAGCGGAGTTGACACTTATTGGTCAAAAAACTAGCCAATGAGCGCTGGACATCGTGGCAACCTCGGTTGAAATTCAGGAGCCGGAATTCATTACTTAGTAAATATCACATAAACTGAAAAAATTGTCGAAAATCGATTAGCTTTTTCAACACTCAAACGTTACTCCCTTCCCAAAATTAACAGTTATGCAATTATTATTACTGTTGGGACCAATAATAAAAGCCAATAACTATCCGAATTTTCTTCATTGTGGCAAAAAAGCATTAGCATCTTTGTTTCACTATCAAACAAAAATCCAAACTAAAATAACCTTGAACTTCGAAGCATTAAAATGTCAACCAGTAAACTATTCGAACTAAGAATTCGGATCAATAATAAATTACTACTCGATCATCAACCTTTCACTTTTTAATGATCGCCTAAATAAAGCCAATTTTTCACGATAAAACCCACGCGTTCGCCTTCTTGAACAAAAAAGTGAAGTTCAAAGCTGCCAACTGAATTCTCAAGAGAAGGAATCATTATTTTATAAGCACAAATTTTAAAAAGTTTTCTGTGCCCAGGTTTCTGTTGCTTAAAGTTGGAACAACACCGCATATTTGTGCTTGTCTCACGACGTTGATTTAATTTTCAATTCAAGTCTCCTCATATTATCATATCAACGAAGTAAATTGATCCTTTCTCTAGATTTGGAAAATTCCATTGCGATCAGTACTTCCATGCATTGAGCAGGTAGGAGTGTTTTGTCTATTTGGAACCACGGGTAACAGTTACATTATTATTTCATTTTCAAGAGCAATTTGTACATATCGTCACTCCACTAATCATTTGTCATTCTTCTGATTGTGACGGAAGCCATTCATCAGAAGTTTTAATGATGAGACGATTGAATCACTAACTTTACAATTCATACACGTTGACTTCTGATATATCGAAAGACTAACAGAGTGATATGTGCTCACAGTATATTAACAGCGTTCAGTCGAGCTGCCTCCGAATACTTGATAATTGCAAGAAAATATGTCTCAGATCTATTTATAAGAATCATAGTTTCATACAAAAATGGGGGTGGGTACACGGGCTAACTAGACTTTACAGGCTTCAAAATTGTTATTTGATAATCAAGAGCATACCCCCATCTACTGCATATAAACTCGTAGAATTCGATGTGTATGATCCTTGATATGGAAATGTCAATAAAGTTTATCCGATTTGTGAAAAGTCCATTACAATTTCATTACTTCTCTCAAAATTTAAAAAGCCGAGATTTAAGGGAAATTTGCACAAACAGGTACATTTAACCATTTAGGATTTAGAAACAAGATAACAGAAACCACTATTAGAGAAGGCATAGTGCATCTAGCATTTTTTACTTAAACAATTATTAATTCTCTCATTCTCATTCTTTCCGCACGTTTAAAAGCGGAAGCTTTACGATCGTGAAATCTAACTTATTAGAAGGCCGAGTCCGAATATCTCTGGTGTAGGTGACCAATATTCACATGTCTGGTTCCTCCTGCTTAAATTTATTGATTATTGGGTTCAGAAACTCGTATCTTAATATGCAATCCCACCACTTCTACAAATACTAAATAGGCAATCAATTTTATCTTAATTATGTTATTAAGTGAAGGAAGAAAAAATCTTTCGGCAGGTTCATCCATATCTTCTTTTTGAGCATTTAAAGCCAAATCGTAATTTTACTTGAGGTGTACTATTCACACGTACACTATTTGGTCACATAACATGGCGATTTGAGAATAATTAATTTCAACCAGTGGTCATGTTTAACATGCTGTGAATCTAAGCGGCGGTGATGCACATGGCACCTTAAAGCATAATCAAGTCAAGGATGTTATCTCATTAGTAAAAATTCTTATTTAGTAACATTACACCTTCATTTGGCTTATGTTCCGGAATCTAATGTCAGACTGCTGACACCTGAGTGTTAAGCGAAAAATAAAAGTGAATCTACATACTAGGAAAGTTATAATTTGTAGGAAATACAAAACACAAAGATGATGGAAATATTTATTATTATTATTATTATTATTATATCAAATGGCAGGCGTTTTGATGGTTATCATTAGCCCTTCAGTTGACTTCAGGCTTCACAGAGGGAAGGAACATCAAAGTGAAAAAAGTCGAGAGGGCGGAGAGAGAGAGAGAGACAATGGTAGAAAAAAGGTGAGGTGAGTACTGTGAAGTAGTCGAATATTGCATATAGTGGGGTTGTGGTAGTTTGAAGTCAGGAGTCAACTGCCGATTAATAGACTTTTTTGCTGTATGAGTATACGTTGCCCAGGGTGCACCATGTGGAGGTAAGTCTATCGCACACCCCTGATGGAAATATAGACAATCATAGAATCTAGGCTCTCTGTCCGTAAACAGTCAATATGGATTTGTGATCCATCTAACTATATGATAGCCAGTTCAAACAGATGTTAGTCTCAACAAGGTATAAACATAGTTCTCATCAGAAAAATGAGCTCTTGAAAGCTCGATTTCTCCACTGCTATCGTAATTCAGAGTCATGCTATTCTGGGAGCGATGAAATTGATCTCTGAAAATATACATATATATATATACATATATATATATATATATAGCCTTTTGATAGCGTAGTGAATCGAAAGGTATTTGATAATGAAACGGAAAAATTTACGAATAGTCAATTTAATCTTGAGATCTTTACCTTAGGTTAGAGTTTTACTTTAAAGAATCATACTTATTCTTATCTAAAATGCAATCCACTGCCTACGAATTGGCAGCCCTTAAAGTAGAAACATTGCCAATTAAGACCGCCAACGGAAAGCGACATCAACCACAAGCTAATCAGTTACCAACATCAACATAAACAATATACGCCTTATATGGGAATGTGCACAAATGAGATCAAGAGGATCTTGTGAAGGACACTTCCACATGACAGTATATGAACAAAGACTAAAAGGTGCACTCGATTAAATTAAGAAGGCTGATAAGGAAAGGGAGGCCTTTCTGTCAGTAAAAAGTACCGCGAATAAGCCTATGTGAACAAAGTGATACCCATTTGATTGGTAGGATAAAACGTCGTGCAGTTCAAGATCATATTATTTTCAAAAAACGCGTTTACAAGGAAAAGTCCTTGGTTGAAAAATTTTCAAAATATATAAACAATTATAACTCTGTTTTAAGAAGTGAAACTTGACGGAAACTTGGCACAATGCTTTGAAAAATGGAGAAGGTAGAGCGCGGTAATAAATGTATGGATGTACAACAATAAACGAATCTCATGCAGTTGCCGAAACTAGTAAGTCACGAGATACATAACCAGTTCTCTGGTTGTAGAAGGTACGATTTCCCGGCTGGCCAAATGTCTCAATATTGAGTTCACGCTCACGACGTGCATTACCCCTGACACCGAAATTTCTAGTTCTGTTAAAGCCACGAATGGGACGTCCACGTTCGTTTCGACCACGATTTACTGGTCCACCCCTTGGTCCACCCTCTGAACGACTGATTTGGTCAAAGAAACTCTTCTCACGGATGTAATACTCACCACTAAAAGTAGAACTAAAATTTCCCAAAAAAATAGTGAATAGCTTCAAGAAAAAGGCACAGAATCCTACCTAGCCAAACTTTGAATTCCATCAGATTCTGTCACCGGATTTGTAATGCTTGTCGAAGAATCACCTGAGGCTCCACTATCAGTTATTTTACCATTGTTTTTCACATTATTTTCAGCAGATATTCTGTCTTCTGAGGTAGGAGAATTAAGGCTCAATTTAGCCAGTTGTCCAGCAATTTCGGCATTGGCTGTTTCAAAGTCATAAGGCTTATCAGAATAATCATCTAAAAAGAAAAGTAACGTTTCTGATAATTAGATATACCAGAATCATTTCTACGAATCATGGAATTTCTTAAAGATGGATTCCTTCTTTCAGAAATACCCCTCCTTCTGCCTTGACTTCTCCAATTTGATTGGGGCATGATATTCAGGCCGTTTGAACGATAGAGTGAAGTTAAACTAGGAGGAAGATACAAAACCAGACCACCGTTTCGCGTAGGCTTTGTATAAGCTGTCTCGTTTCTTATATTAGATGATTCATATGGTCCGTTGAAACGGTTGCGGTTGGTAATGTTAGGAACATAAGTGGTTCGCGGTTGCTCTGGATTCCGTCCCCTTCGAGTATTGCCAAGCGGTCTACGAGGTCGCCTATCATTGGTACTTTCATGGATAGCACTGTTCGAGCTTGTAACTTCAATGCGATGCATCATCTGAAAAAATTGGTTAATAACCCGATACAAATGATCCTTACCGTATTTTTAACAGGTGAAATATTCTTTCCGCTTAGTTCTTTAACAGCGTTGTCACCGATCTCACAAGTTGACTTCCCTTCTTTCAGGATGATAACTTTTTTCACACTGTCTAGCCAAAATGTAACCGTTTCAATATGGAATCCAATTTCAGGTAGTTGTTGATTGGAGTCCTTATCGCTATTAGCATCCTTAACGTGAGGATCACGACCCATGAACTTGACATTTTGAAGAGATATGGTCTGATCCTTTGGATTTACTGCGATAACTGTACCTTCGTATTTGTAGCTGACATTCGTAACGATTTGGATCAAAGAATTCTTAGTAATCGTCTTAAATTGACTCGGTTCTCGAAGTTCTTTCTCCATTGCAAAATGTGAAAGTTTTCCTCTGAGCTTTGTAGACTAATGATCTACAGTATGATTAAGCACTGAAAATGCGTCTGACCACAGTGCTAGGGAAATTAACACGTTAATTTAATCCTGATTACAACTCACGAATCGATAATCCAATTTCGCGAATCTGTTGCAATCTTATTCGCTAATGCAAACTTAACTCATCTGCTCCTCTAAATGCTGTTCAGTGCTTGATCTGAATCGTGGATAGTGAATTTAATTAAAAATTATTGGAAAATGCTTAGCCTCAAATTTCCGTTAAATCCAAAAGAGCGCCCATTTATACTCAGCATACGAAAGGATCAAAGTAAAAATTTGAAATAAGACTTCTAGGTAAGAAACAAAAAGTGCAGTACAACCAGACCCCCCGTTTAAACTGTTACAAAGTTTGTATAAAATATGCATATTATTAGTCTCACATTAACGAAATTGCGTATTTACAAATATACAAGGAAAAGCGGGAATAGCAGTTAGGATAAATTTGTGGTCAGTTGGGCGGCCATGACTTCAAAAAGATCCCGGGCTCTAGAACAGAGTAGTCCTTGAGGATCAAGGTTATTAGTCATGGAAAGAAGCTGAGAAGATAAGGACCCATTTTCATTGAAAACGGGAGAATTCAATCGACCAGAATAAACAGAAAAAATTGCCGGCGTACTTTCGCCATCCCCATTACTTCTAGCGCGTTTAGTACGAGTTGGCTCACTGATTGAGGGATTTGCTATATCGACTGAAATAGTCACAGCTAAAACGAAACAAAATATAGATACTAAGTGTGGAATTTATTGAAAACATTCTAAAATTACTAACATACGACGAAACTTGGGGTCTACTTCCGAGCTGCACACAGCAACTACCGACGCAGTGAGAGGAATTGCTGTTTGCATAAGAGACAATGAAACCGCGTTGATACAAGCTGCCATAGTAGCAGGATGACCGGATATGCCAGAAACTATTTGAATACGAATATTAAACTGAAAATACATGGAAAATTATAAAATCTTGCAAAACAAACCTGATTTCGAGGAAAATTTTTCACTTCAATAAGCCTTTCGAGCAATTGAGTTATATGAAGTTCCATTTCGCTCTCATAAGGTGTATGAAAGCCAGAAACGGGTGAGACAGTTACATCAATGTAAGCACGATGAGTCAATTCGTTTGCCATATTTGCCTCTTTTGGCCCATAAACAGACGCAATAACATGAACATCACCAAAAGACCATGTACATGAACCGGAAGCATTACAGTCTGCATTTAACCCGACTGATAAATTTGACAATTCCATTAAGGATAAAAAACACGACCACGAGAACAATATAACAAGCTCCTCACCAACTCTGACCTTGAGCTAAAGTAGGCAATGCATTTTAGTAATTAATTCTGTATGATTCTTGAGTCCTTTGAATATAAAATTATATATTAACAATTTTAGACATATTAGAATTTTATTTCTAGCTAAAATGCTTGCTTTGTCTAGCAAGAGCTAAATTATTGCTATTCGACTTCAGCTTGGAGTTGCGAAAATTCACCAATGGGAAACACACGACTTTTGGTGGTATTCCGAATTTTGTTTGGCTATGTTTCAGTCGAACTTTAAAGCGTCTAATGTTGCTAAAGATCCCCATAAAATCAATGGGAAGATTTTGCTTGCGGCCAAGCGTTCTGGTGTGATAACTCTAAGTGCACGTGGTCTTTCTTATGGTATCTTATTTTTCTTTCATTTGCGATAACAGTCATGTTTATTGAACGAGTCAGTAACTTTACGTTAAATTTTTTGTGTTCTCTCTGTAGTCCCACCTGCTATTTGGACGTTAAATGAGCTTAATTCAGGTGAAAATGATCCGATTGACTTTGGAGCAGACGGTAATGATGAAATCAAGTGGTGGGAAGCAGAACCCATCACTAAATTAAATTTATTTGGGAATTCTATAAGCGAGATCCCGGGTGATGGAATTGCCAAACTTGACAGTCTAGTGAATATTGACGTGAGTTTCATCAGAAAATAAGACTATTTTGTTATCGATCTTAATGTTTTCTTTCTGCGTTTGAATTTTTAATATTTAATGCCTTTTATATGCCATTATTTTTCCTCGGCTTGAATTCTATTATGGTTAGTTTTTTTATGTATTGTTGAAGAGATTATTGAAGCACTACGAGCAGCTTTACATTTTTATTTAATGCCACAAACGACCAGTGGGCAAACACATTTTACCACGATTTATAAAGCATATTTCACGAATATCCTCATGAAGTTCTGAGGAAACTATTGCCAATAACGACTGATTAACCAGGACTAGGTGACTTGCTTTTTTCATTTTTTCATTATGCATGATGCTACGCTTCTTATATGATCATGGCACCATTGAGCTCTATCAATATTTACTAGTAATCTAAAATCTTAAAATATATTAGTAAGTCTTCTTATTTTAAGATCGTAATGCACGTTTTACTTGGGTCAGTTTTCATGTTGTAGTATTTGTAATTAAGAGTTCAGCGAGGTTTTATGATCACTCTGCAGTTGGATGTTCCATTCCTGCTTTGACTTGCGGTTTGCTTTTCTGGATGCCACGTTCCTGGAAATATTTTCTTTTATAACGCGTTTAAACAATCTTGTATTTGGGATTATTGCCTGGAAGCTCGCCCTAATAATGCTGAATACATCTTCAATTTCTTTACGGTATTCGGAATGAAGTCCTGATTTACCATTTCTATCAGACATCGTTCTTATTCGTTTTTTTTGGTATTTATAAATGCATTTTTTTCAATTGGTATATTTCTTGTAAAAAACTGTTTATTCTAGACTTAAAAATTCTAAGTGTGAACAGTTCGCGTAGAGTTTCTGACTTGATTCCCTCAGAATATTGTAATTTCCACATCCTTTGAAATAGGGCACTTTTTGTTGGTACTTATTTTATATAATTGAATGCTACCGCGAAGCTTCCATGATACCAATGCAAATTTCTCTAATTCCTATGTAATTGGCACTAACCAGCAGAGCTGATCATATCTTTTTTTTGTTTGTGCGGTCAGTGAGTTTCGAACTCATTGACTCTAGCTTTGCCGTCGTAAACATTGATCACCACCTCATCCACTTTCACAAGCCTAATTTTAAAGAAATGGACTCCGGGGGGGGGGAGTGCTGTTCTGTTGAACTCAATCATTCATTTTCATATTCATTGTTGGTAGTTTATTGGTATGAGATCCTTGAACTACTTTTCTCTTTCAGCTTCGTGATAACGAACTGGCTACTTTGCCCAATGAAATCTCCGCCCTGGTAAATTTAAAACAGCTTCTACTGAGGTTAGTTAGTACATTTAACTTGTTAACAACTATGGTCTGTTTTGCCCAAGGGATTGTCATTAGTTAGTATTTAGTAATCATCTTTCAAATTAATTGGACTAGGTTTTGTGGGACGGCTCTGGCGTAATAGATCTAATATCAAAATGTTTACATTTTTGGTTTTTAAGAGTGCAATGATTTATGTTTCCTTGACATATTTGGAATGAATTTCGGCAAAATTTTGCATGTTCTCCTTGGAGATATCGTATTTCACAATCCATTTTCTCATGTTTCAATGTGGTTAAACGTATCAAAACACATATTTCCATGCATGGTTTTGGAGATAAAAACCTGTTTTTCCTTTTTTATTCTAAAGTTCTGTACCTCTAAATATCGATGGTTTAAATTGCATGTTTATCAATGAAAAGGTGAAGGAAGTGTAATTGCCGCATAAACTGTTTTAATAAAAAAAAAACGCTTTATTGAATACGCACCGATGAAGTTTGAATCCATGACCTCTGACCTGAAAAACCTTCACGTCTACAAGGTTTTAATGCAAATGTTTTTTAGGTAATTCATATCACGGCTCTATTTTACGTCGTGGTAGATTAGCGCCTGCTACTAGGATCTAAGTGTTCTAATTTGGCCTTTAAATTTTTTAAAATTGTTTTTCTTTCACTTAACAGCTCTAACAAAATTACAACTCTGCCAAATGGCATATCAAAGTTAGCCTCTCTTGTTCATTTGAATTTGGCACATAATGAACTAACTGCCCTACCTGATGATTTTGCTGGTCTCCAATCTCTTGAGAAACTTGTAAGTCTAATTGAATTAACTGTTCTTTGCCATGTGGAAAAATGGATTATTTCTACCATAAGCTTGATTCAGGTTGTAGAATAGGGCGCACTCAACAGAGAGCAAACAAAATGAAATTGGTTAGGAGTGGATGTAAGCTGAGTATTTAAAAAGGGTTAAGAAAAGGTTATTTAATTGCACTCGATTCATTCATTATGGTAATAGCATGTCAATTGTCGACCCATGATTCCCTCAATTATAATAACACCGACATGCCAGTGGATATGGATATCCGGTTTGAATTGGCTTTTGTTATTTAGAAATTGAAATTGCCTTTTTATAGACCTTAAGCATATTTTAAATTAATGAAACCATGTTTAGTAGTGCTTTAAACAAGGTAGATTGCTTCTCTGTGTAACTTTTTTCTGTGTTTCTTCAATATTTTTGCTCTAATGCTTCATTATTTTCTCGCAGTATGATTGAACGCACTATTGCGTGTGATGAGCTATTTTTATTCCTATCATAGACATTTAGTTTGCATGACTAGAACAATCATTACCTAGTACCCTTTTTGACATGCTGTTGTGGGAGTTTATCTTCAAACTAGCATTTCGTAAAGCAGCAATCGTTGTGTACGAACTCTGAATTACCTTCGCCTGTCCTAAACTGTCGACCTGTTGTATCCCCACATTCCAGTACAATTGTTCCTTAACGTTATTGAATTAACAATGAGACAGAGGCTACCCTGATCATTTATTTATATCAAATGTCAGGCATTTTGATAGTTTCATTAGCCCTTTAGGTGACTTCAGGCCTCACAGAGAAGAAATATCAAAGTGAAAAAAATTGGAGAGGGGGGGGGAACAGAAGAGTGTTTCAAAGATGTAAAAGAAACAGACGCAAAGGTAGAAAAAGGGTGAGATGAGTACTGTGGAAGTAGTCGAATATGACATACAGTGGGGTGATGGTAGAAGCCAGATTATCAGTGTCAAGCATTGATGTTAACAGTCAAGTAGCTTGCATAGGGAGAAAACTTCCTTACCTATTATATACGTGAGTACACTCATTAAGCACTATCTATCACAATGACTCGTTTTCAAATTAGAAATGGTTGCTAGAAAGTGGATCGGATGTATCTTCTTTAAGCTATACCTTTTCGGTTTTTTTGATTTACTTAAACGATTATCTGGTCCCTATACCCACCAACATCTCCCCTCCGCATCCCTTTCATCTTCCTCCTTCTCGTATAAGTATGACCAGCCTCTGCGGTTATCTCTTTTTTCTTGCTGTCATAGTT